GGCCGTTGGATTAGAGCTACAATATCCAAGGCCTATTTGTCACAGGCGCTTCCTGTTCCCAGTGGAGTAACCGCTCACTCTACAAGGAGTGCTGCTACTTCTGCAGCCTGGGCTACTCAGGCTCCTATTCATGATATTTGCAGAGTGGCTACCTGGTCGTCTCCATCTCCATTTATTCGCCATTATAAAATCGATGTTTTTGCCTCGGCAGAAGCCTCCTTTGGCAGACGAGTCCTTCAGCAAATGGTGAGAGATCCAGAACATGCTCCGAGCCAGACGGAGTCCCCCCCGTAGGACAGGCCATGCTTTGGTATGTCCCACTCTCTGGATGCTCGGAGCAGCTCGATTGAGAATGGGCGTTGGTACTTACCTGACACGCCATTTCTAGTCGAGCTGCATAGAGCATCCAGCCCCACCCTATTTGGTCCATCTGGTGGGGAATCCTGTTTCGGCCAACGATTCATATTGATTTTTTTGTAGTTAAGTGTTGTTTATAGTTAAGATGAGGGGATAGTTGTTTGTCTTCTCATCTTCGTAAAAACTGGGGAATGCATGGAGGAGTCACGTGGTGGAGGAGGAGCGTTCCTCAATTATAGCTCAGCCTGCAATTGGTGAAGACTAGAGCACCTCCCACTCTCTGGATGCTCTACGCAGCTCGACTAGAAATGGCGTGTCAGGTAAGTACCAACGCCCATTTCAGTAAAATGCCATGTGATTCTGGGATACTGTAAACAGCTGCACATGTGGCCCTGTTGCTGAGCATCTGAAATTCAGTCATGTGATTGCAGAGGGTGCCTGTCCATGGGAACTTCACATTTGGGTCGCAAGCCTCCTTTTTCAGGCCAGTTGTAACCTGGAATGGATGTTAAGTGACTGGACATAAGGAGTACTTGCATTGTTGCTTCTCCACAGGAACATGACCAGCAGTGCAGGATGGCCTTCATTGAGTTTAGGAGATGAAGATCCCATCACACAATGGTGGGAAAAGGAGACCCTGAGCTGTAATAATCAGAAGGGTAGTACTTACAGGCCACAGTCTTTGGTTCACTCTTTTTTCCATTTTTAAATTAGTTTATCGAAATATAAAATATAGTGCTATCTTGATCATTGTCATTTCAGGTAGTCCTCCAGCAGTCGAGTACTGAGGTACCATGGTGCAAAGAAAAATGAAAAATGTGGGAAAATAGCAATGGCAAAAGCGCTTAGACTTTTATATCTCTTCATAGTGCTTTACAGCACTCTGAGCGGTTTACAAGTCAGTGTATTGCCCCCAACAAATAGGGAAAAAGTGGTAAAAGAAAGAAAAGCATTGACTTCTTATTCTTTTTAGCAGAGTGGAATAAGATAATAACATTACAGCCTCAACCTTTTACTTTTACAATCTTAGATATACCAGCCATTTCTATAACAAACCTTTCTAATCAGCAAAAATCCAAAATCAACATTTCTTTGTCTATTTTTTCTACCTCATGCACAAAGTTCAGAAGTGGTTTCTAAGTGAAAATAAAGTTAGCTGTATTCTTTTTCTTTGATTATGGCAGTCAGTTGAGCCATCTTCGCTATCAGTTAATTCTATCAGTTTTCCCAGCAGATCATCCATTGTGGGAATTAAATTCTTTCCACTTTTGTGCATAGAACAGTCTGTTTGTATATTGTGTCAGAGGCATCACAATATAACATTAACATTTGAAATATAAAATACAATATTGAAATATGCACAATTTAAACAAATCTTGCCCAGAAACTAACAACGTTAATTGCATTCTGTCATGCTGCCATGACTTCCTCAAGTGTACACTGATTTTGTGTACACACAAAGGGCATATGTTGTTGTCTGCATGTCACCACAATCACAAAGGGCAGAGATCACCAGATAGCCCCATTTGTTCAGAGTGTCTCTGCATCTTGTTGTATTTGTCTACAGTCTATTCTACAATTTCCATACTTCTCAGCTTTTGTCAGATCCAGGTGCCAGCCCCTCCATTGGTTCCATCCAGTTGTGGTCCATAGACCACAATAGTTGTTGTGTCACTGTTTATGAATTTCTACCTGACCATCATTGTGTATATTTGTGCACTAAACTCAAAAATAAGATGTTTGCTGTCTTTTTTTCTTCCATTGTGAGTTGCTTCCTTTCTAATCTAACAGTAAACTGCGTCTTTCTTGACATTAATTGAAAGCAGCTGATTGATTGATTGATTTTCCCTGTGTTTGGAAGAAGTGTGGAGGGACAAATATCTTAATTGAGTTTCTTCGTAAAGCTTGATTGCTGCTATCTCTTTATTTCCTCTAGTGAGTTCATTTTGTTGTGGGACCTTTATCATTCTCTGGAAAAAAAGTTCTTTTTAGGATGAAATGATAATGAAATGAGTGTTTCCTTTTTTGAAATGGCAGAAATATGTAAATGGGTCAGACTTTGACCATGGGCTTGTGGTTTCCATTTTGAGTTCTTGGATCCTAACCCCAGTCTCTTCTGAATTAAGGAACAGGTGAACCTCAAGCTTAGTCCCCTTGGATTTACGATTTCCTACATATGATCAGAGCAACCTCACTTTTCCTGTAAAAATGAAAATCTCCCATGAAAGAAATGGCTAAATAAAGAATTTCCAATTCTGTTGCCGCAGGCAATACGGTAGCATTTCTTTTACATTCTGTATGCTGTTCCTCACCCATCCAAAAATTCTGCATCTGCTTGAGGGTATGGATTGTGTCATGATCTCCATACAGCAAAGGAGATGGAAAATTAAATAAAATATTGCCCTCCACTTATTCAGTGTTAAGTGTTTCTCAAAGTGAGTGATTTGAGCTGGGTTTTGTAATCCAAGTGAAGGTCAACCCACTAGTGCCAAGACCTTGAAGATGGAGATAACCTAAGGTTACTCCTTAGTCTTCTGATCACGTTGCTTCTGCTGCTTCTGCTGCTGTTGCCCATCAGTTGCAGATAAATCTGACAATTTTCCTTTTGGGGAAATGTTGTTGAAGGGGAGCAACTGTCCAGTTGCCTTGTGACTTTTGGTGCCTAGAGGCAAGAGGTTGATGAGTGAGGCAGAAGAAAGCTTGCATGCAGAGTGCAAAGCCTCCGACTCTGGAGGTGGTTATCCTAAGAGGATATAGTTGCAACTAAAGCCATCAGTGAAATCTCGTTCTAAAAGTTCTTTTCTACTGCCTGGTCTCAATAGTTCAGCAGAATTAGAAAATAAAGACATTTAAAACAAAATAAGAGATTAGTGAAACAGCTCCTCAGTGAAGTTTCGTACAAATTGTGTTGCCTTTTCCTTTTTTGGTCCTGGAGATGTGAGGCTTTGCTAGCACTGATTATTAGCACAATAGCACTTACGGTGTTACCTAGTTGTGTAATGAAACATCAGCAAGAAAACCACCAAGCTTGCAGTATTTCCTGTTGTGTTTTTGAGAAACCGAGAAGTTTTAAAGACATGTCTTGGAAATTGTGGAGAGAGAAGACTTAACAAAGCAGAACCGTCTCCATTTGCATTGGTTTCCTTGAAGAAGGACTCAGCGATGTTGCATCTATAAAAACCCCAAATTCAGTAATTGGAGGAAAAGAGAGAAGGTTAAAAGCTATAAAGATCTAAGTGCTCTCACTCAAATCCTATGAAATTCTGACCTGAGAATGGTGAACTATCCTGAAGTACCTGCCTTTTTGCAAGACCCAGTGATTCAAGGAAATTTTCTATATATGTTTCATTTCTTGTGCCATCGTGTTAAGGTTACCTGAAAAGATTGTCAAAAATTAAGAGGGGTCTGGCAACCATTTTTGGACTTTTTATTAAAAGGCATTACTTTTTGAGAGCTATAGTTCACTACATCAGTTGCATAGATGGGCCAAATTGGGGTAGGGTTTGATGTGTTTGCTGAAGTTTGCTAACAAAATCATTTCCTTTAAAAAATGCATTGGTCTAAAAAACTGGTATTGGGCACCTTCTGATTTGAGGCTGCCAAAGACTCTCCTCCTGCAGTGTCTGAAAGGACTGTTGACGTAAAGACTGGAACAACAGTGTGCGATGGCAGCCAAAAAAGCCAATGCAATCCTAAGATCAAGGGAGGAACTAATACCACTCTATAAGGCCTTAGTAAGACCATACCTAGAGTACTGCATCCAGTTTTGGTCACCACCCCATAAAAAGATGTCGAGACTCTAGAAAAAGTCCAGAGAAGAACAACCAAGATGGTTAGGGGACTGGAGGCTCAAATGATGAATGGTTGCAGGAACTGGACATGGCTAGTCTAGTGAAGAGAACAACCAGGGGAGACATGAGAGCAGTCTTCCAAAATTTGAAGGGCTACCAAAAAGAGGAAGGGGTCAAGCTATTTTTCAAGGAACCTGAAGGCCAGACAAGGAATAATGGATGTAAACTGATCAAGGAGAGATTCAATCTATAAATAAGGAGAAATTTTCTGACAGTGAGAACAATCAACTAATGGAATAGCTTGCCTTCAGAAGTGGTGGTAGCTTCATCACTGGAGGCTCTCAAGGAGAGACTGGACTGCCATTTGTCAGAGATGGTGTAGGGTTTCCTGTTTGGGTGGGGATTGGACTAAATGACCTCCAGTACAAGGTCCCTTCCAACTCTGTTAATCTGTTAAAAACCTAATAATGGGAAGGGAAGGGAAGGGAAGGGAAGGAAGGAAGGAAGGAAGGAAGGAAGGGAAGGGAAGGGAAGGGAAGGAAGGAAGGGAAGGGAAGGGAAGGAAGGAAGGAAGGAAGGAAGGAAGGAAGGGGCTATTTTTTTTCTTAAGTAAAAGCACTTTAACTGTATAAAAGATCATGATATCTTTGAATGTGAGCAAATTCCACCTCAGTTGATGAAAATGTCACACATTGCATTTCAGCACTGTGCTTGCTCTTTTTGAGCATGAGTGAAATGAAGATACTTTGACATTTGGGGTGTTTTCTTTATACTGTATTTTATTTAAAAAACAACAACCCACCTTTGCAGTCATTTTGTCTTTACATCCATTTCCGTCTCTCCCCTCCACAGCCACGATCTCACCCTCTCTGCCCATCTCCAGCATCTCCTCCTCCGTTCAAACTCTTCTTGGACCGATGTCACTCCCTCCCACTCTCCAAGAGCACCCCAATGGGATTGGATCAGTTGGAATGGAAACAGAAGTTCTTGATCAGCCCTGCTGGTAAGTCCCACTTTAATGGATCCTCCTAAGTCAGCTGTTACCGTAAGAGGAAGTGGTGGGTCGAAGGTTGTGTGGTGTGGAGTTTCCTAAGATTTGTGCCTGATGTGCAAAAACCTGACTTTGGATTTCTTGTGTGAATGCATGTTAAGGAAGTGGGGCAAACTTCAGAAGATGGAGTTGGATTTTGGTGGCAGATCTGCTCATACAGGCTTCATGGTGGCCATCTTGGAAGAATGCTGACGATACTTTCTGGAGCTGCATCTCAGAATGATTGGAGGATTCTGTGCTGTTTTTTTCTTCAAAGCAATAAATAAAAAACCCTCACTTTTATGACCCTGTAATCCTGGGGCGACTGCTGGAGCTGAACGTTTACTGGCCGGATGCCCTTCCTGATGCCACATGGAGTTCACAGCAGACATTATTTTTTTTCTACCCTAGGAGAGAAACATCTGCCACTACCTAGGATTGAACTCTCCACTTTCAGAATGGGAGGCGAGTGTCACCACTAAGCCGCCACACTGCTCTTTCGAAGCAATAAATAGGGCCTGTAAAATAATTTGCAAATCTTGCACAGGTAGTTTCGACCTACAATCATTGTTACAACAACATTGAAAAAAGTGACTTACAGGGAGTCCTCCTGCTAATCACGTTGCAGCATCCCTGTGACCATGAGATCAAAATTCAGGCACTTGGCAACTGGTATGTACAGATAGTCCTTGACTTATGACCAAAACAGAATCCACAATTTATATTACTAACTGATAAATTTGTTAATGAGTTTTGCCCCATTTTACGACTTTTAATGCCACATTTGTTAAGTGAATCACTGCAGTTATTAAATTAGTCACACAGTTGTTAAATGAATCCGGTTTCCCCATTGACTTTCCTTGTCAGAAGGTTGCGAAAGGGGATCATGTGACCCCGGGGACATTGCAACATCATAAATGTGAGTCAGCATGTAAAGCATGTGATCATGGGGATGAAACGGTCATAACTGTGAAAAATGGTCTTTTTTGGTGCATTGTAATTTTGAACGGTAACGAAGCAAACTGTTTTAAGTCAAGGACGACACGTATTTATAATGGTTGCAGGGCGATCGCGTGATTGCCATTTGCAACTTTCAAATTTCACTGGGCCTTCTGACAAGCAGTCAGAGAAGGAAACCAGATTTGCTTAACAAGTGCATGATTCACTTAACAACCATGGCAAAAAAGGTCGTATAATTTTGTATGGCTTTTGTAACAATTTCCTTGCTTTGCAGTAGAAATTCTGGTCTCAATTGTGTTCGTAAGTTGAGGGCTACCTGCAGTGGATCGTTATTTTTGTCAGTCAAATAGGTTCGCCTCTAACATGGGGGCTGAGGGAGAGCAGCCCCTCCCTGCCTTCTCCTTTTTCATTGGACGTTGCATGTTCTGGGGTTGCTCAAAGAGACAAGTCTTCATTGAATGAACTTGGTCCCCTTCGGTTGTTCAGGGGATTTTGGAGTTAATTTTTGTGTGGTTCTGTTCTAATTCGCCTGGTACAGGTGGTCCTTGACTTACGACAGTTCATTTGGTGGCCATTCAGAGTTAACGTGGCATTGAAAAAAGGGACTCAAGACTGTTATTCACACTTACAACCGTTGCCGCATCCCCGTAGTCATGTGATAAAAATTCCGATGCTTGGCAACTGGTCCATATTTATGGCGGTTGCAGTGTCCCGGGATCATGTGATCAGCTTTTGTGACCTTCTGATAAGCAAAGTCCGTGAGGAAGTCAGATTCACTCTTTGTTCTGACCCAGTTCCCCAAACACAACAAACCCTCTGATGTGAACTCCAAAGATTCCTTCATTAGGAATGCCGGCAGCCCCGGCAAAACGTTTATCTCGCAGGCTACCAAGTCCATCTGGCTAGAAGATGAATAGTTGTCAGCCACATCTATTCATCTCCTCCCCCTGCCTTTTATCCCCAGAGCTAGGGTGGGGCCTTGCTAGCAGCGGTGGCTCTTCCATCCCAAGGACCACCCAATAGATTTCCACTGCCCTCCTCTCTTCTGCCTTCTGCAGAGCCGCGCATCAGGCACTGGACCCAGCTGTTCCTCCCCTTCTTCATCCGCCACCTCCAGACCTGGGGGCTGTTGACTCTGCATCTGAGGGCTGACGGATGGCCCAGGCTCCGCCTCTCTCCCTCTCTCTCTGCCAGTTCCCTCTTCCTCCTTGGAGCTCCCAGGTTGCCCTGATGCTGACCCTGACTCTCACGCCTCCTCCTCCTCCTCCTCCTCTGATTCGACTGCCAGAGGGGCCGTGGGCTGACAGGCCGCAATACTGTGCTACTAATATAACAATTGCAGTGATTCACTTAACAACTGTGGCATAATGGTTGTAAAATGGGACTAATTTCACTTAACAAATGTTTCACTTAGCAACATAAACTGTGGGCTCAGTTGTGGTTGGAACTCAATGACTACCTGTACTTTTCTTTCGTGTCCGCAGTCCTACTTCGACTGCTGGGGAGAAAGTTTGCCGCCCATATTTGTGGTGAATTTGCACTGAGTCAGAGCATTGGTTGTCTAAAATGATTCATAAAATCTCAGTAGGACATTCTTTGGAGAATCTGTTCCCCATAATAGTAGACGTGCAGGATATCTTTTTCCAGTTTTTTTAAAAAATATCTTTTTACTCCATTATTCATCCTCGCTTGAGTCATCTTAGTTTGGAATGGAAATGTGAAGAATGATGAAACGGGGACCGTTTCTCACGGGTGATCAGAACTTAGACTCTTTAGTAGAAATCCGGTTTGGTTCACTGCTGGCTTAGAGAGGAGGGGGCAGGGAGAGAGAGAGAGAGAAAGGGAGATATGGATAGACAGATAGTCAGACAGATATGAGAATGGTGGGGAGATATAGATGGATGGATAGATAGATATAAACAAGATTGGTTAAGTAGTAATAAGATAATTGCATTAATTTTGACAATACCTTCACTATTATTAAACACCAACATCTGCCTATCTCAGATCCTTGGGAAGGATTCAATTGGTAGACAAAGATCCCAAGTCTAGTTTAAACGTCTGGCTGGCTGTGCAACCAAGCCTAGTAATAATACTTTCTCTGGTTTCTGGGCACAAAAAGAAGCGAAACCTGGGTGAGCATCCATTTATCTTCTACCTAGCCGATTTCTGCTTGAGGTTAACAAGGCCATCGGTTCTCTCCAGCTGAACATATTCATCTGTTTTATGTGTCCCACTGAATTTGCTGCCAATTAACTGCCATTTGACTTATACATTAAGTTAGTAAATAAAAGCATGACTCCTGTCTTGGCTGATCCGTGTGAACCTGAGAACAGAACTCAGCAGTCCGGAACCAGCTGCTTGTCCTCCAGGTTGATGAGCAGAGTCGGTCCTGTTGGACTAGATCGTGCTGGGCTCTGGGATTCGCCAATGGATATAATGTCTTTGTTGCTGTCCTTCCTGGTGGGCTCCTCTGGAGGTAGTCCTCAACTTATGACCCCAATTGAGCCCTAAATTTTTGCTGTTAAGTGAGACGTTTGTTAAGTGATTTGTGCCTCATGTCATGACTTTTCTTGCCAGGGTTGTTGAGTGAAACCCTGCAGTTGGTTGTTAAGTGAATCTGGCTTCCATGTTGACGTTGCTTGCGACAAGGTTGCAAAAGGGGATCACTTAATCCTGAGGCACAGCAGTGGCCCTAAGTGTGAACCAGTTGCCAACCATCGAAATTGTGATCACATGATCACAGAGATGCTACAACGATCATCAGTCGCTTTTCTCAGTGCTGTTATAACTTTGAACCATCACCAAACAGACTGTTGTAAGTCAAGGACTACCTGTATTCTCCCTCAGAACTTGAGAGTTTTCAGCCAGAGATGGACCAGGGGATCCTAGGCAAGTTTCCGTCCAGGAGACATTTAATTTAAATTACAACTCCAGGATATCTAGTACTGTCCTTGTGTTATTTTTTAGTTGTCTTGTTGGGAGAAACTCATTTTGATCTGTGTGTATATATTTACTTAATATTTTTTCAATCTCTCAGCCATTATATTCATAAATATTTTGTAATCGGTGTTCAATAAAGAAATTGGTCTGTAATTTTTTATGCGGGTGGTATCTGTGCTCTCCTTCAGTATTAATGTGATATTCCATGACATTGGTAGCTTTGCCTCTGTAAGTACTTCGTTATAAATTTCTAAAAGGATTGGATCTAGTATTTCACCTAAATTTTTATATAATTCTGCAGGTAATCCATCTGCTCCGGGTTTTTTTTTGGTTTTTTTGTTTAATAATTGCCTCTTTTAGTTTCTCCTTAGTAATCTCTTCATTTAATCTTTCCCTTTCTTCTTCTATTAGTATTGGAATATTTCTTCTTCTATATATTGTTTGATTTTCTCTTTACTCATATCTTCTTGTTTATAGAGTGTACTAGAATATTCCAGTACTATTTCTTTTTTCTTTTCCATATTATTTTGTATCTTTCCCTCCTTATCTTGTAATTGTTGAATCCATCTCTTTTCTTTTTCCTTCCTTAACTTATATGCCAGCCACCTTCCTGGCTTATTGGCATTTTCAAAGTAGTTTTGCTTTACTCATTTCAATGCTCTTAGGTTTCTTTCTTGTTCTAATATGTTCAGTTTATGTTTAGCTAAACTATATTTACTTATAATTTGCTCGTTCTCTGGTGTTAATTGCGCTTGTCTTTCCAATTTTCTAATATTCTGTTACTCATTACTTTTTTTCTTTTTCTTTTTTCTTTCTGGCATTGTATGCAATTGTTACTCCTCTTAAATAGGCTTTTGTTGTGTCCCACAAATTCTGTAAAGAGGTGTGTTCTTTTGTATTTACTTCAAAAACATTTCTAAATCTTTTTTAACTTTTGCTAAATATTCTTTATCTTTCAGAATTTGTGGTTTCAACATCCATCTCCCTCTTTGTTTTGATTGGTCTTTCCATGTTACTATTAGGGGGTTATGATCTGCCCATATATTTGGTGCTATTTCTATTTCACTTGTCATGTCTTTCATTAGAGTTTTACTTATCCATGCCATATCAATTCTGGACCATGATTTGTGGGGAATAGAGTAAAAGATGAACTGGTTTTCTTTTGAGTTATATATTTTCCATATATCTATTAAGTTTTGTTTTTCTACCATATTAAAGAATGTTTTTGGAAGGGTGTTCTTTTTTTTCTTTTTTTTACTAGTACTTTGCTAATCTTTTTTAATGTGCGGAACTGCGTTAAAATCTCCCATCATACAAATATCTTCTTTGCCTAATTCTAAAAATTTTTCATGTATTTTTTTTTGTAGTTAAGTATCTTGTTTATTTTGGGCATCAATTGCAACAAGTAAGAATTTCCTCTGTTCCCATACCACTTCTAACATTAATGTTTTCCCCACTGAATCTGCATATAGTACTTCTGCCTCTATTCCTTCTCTGACATAAATTGCTACCCTTCTTTTTTTTCTTGTGATAGTGCTATATAAAGTTTTCTTAATTTATTATATTGTAAATATTTTTTATCCGGAGTTCTAATGTGTATGTAATGCAACCAGAAAGCTTTAAAATTCAGCTGCCAGTGTACCTCCTGGAGGCACACTATATCCATTTTTTGTTTTGCCAATTTCTTAAAAGTTTGGTTCTGTTTCGATGGAGAATTAACTCCTTTTATATTTATTGACAGTATTTTCAAATTGTTTTCCATTTTCCTTCTTTGCTGCTATTAACTAGTTCCTGTTGTTCCTTGCCTCTGTTTGTGCCCTTGTTCTTACTCTGTTCTCTTCTTGTGGTCTTTCTTCTTTCTTTTCCTCTTCTTGCTCTTTTCCATTCTTTTCCAATAGTTGGTCATCTTGGCTGGCCGATTCCAGTTCTTCTCTGCTACTACCAAGTTCTTCTGTGCCTACCAGTTGGGTGTGGAAGTGTTGTGCTTTCTCCAAAGTATCCATCTTAATCTTCTTCCCTTGCCATGACACCAACATTCCCTCCAGTGTTATCCATCTGAACAGTATATTATTTTTGTTAAGTCGGGCGGCTAGGAAATGATATTCTCTTAGTTGATCATGCACCCTTTTTGGGATTTGCTTTAATATAATGATTTCTTTTCCTTTGTAGAATATTGGCTCATCTCTAGTAATTTTGTAGATTATGTCCCTTACTTTTTTCCATGCGAAATGGATACGCACTTCTTTAGGCAATCTAAATTGTCTGGCGTAGTTGATATAAACTTGGTTGACTTCGTCCAATTCATTGAGTATCTCACTTTTGTCTCTTTGGAGCGCTTCTGCAATTATTTCGGTCATTGTTGCTGTTAGGTCTTCCTCTTTAGTCTCCTCCACATTCTGAAAGCGCAGATAAAAAAAGGCTCTCTCCATTTCCAGCTGAATCATTGAGTTTTCTACTTCCCTATTCCATTCCTTCATTTTCTGGCCTACAGATTCTAATTTCTGTTCCGTTTTTTCTGTTCTTTGTTCAATCATTTGTAGTCTTTGGTCATTTTTTTGTAAAACCTCTTGGATCAATCCCACTTTCTCATCTAACTTCTGGATGTCGTTTCTCGCTTCTCTTTTTACTTCCTCCATTTCTATCTTCATTTCTCCATGGTTTCTGGTCATGCTTTCCTGTAATTTTATCGTTGTTTCTTGTATTGATAATAAAGCGGCCTGCATGGTCTATGTGTTTGTCATGGAGGCTGTTTTGTCTCTTGTAAGCAATCCTTCTATAGATCTTTTCATAGATGGGGATGATGTCGCTGTGGCTGTTGTTGTAGTGGGTTTCTTGCCGGTTTTCACAGCAGTTGTCATAATATTTGTCATTTCTTGCAATATTCTATCTTGCTGTCCTAATATTCTTTCTATCCTCTCCCACAAGAGCATTCAATATTCTCCCAACTTCTGACTCACTTTTTATTCTGCCCTACAGTCTACAACTCTACATCTTGTATTAGATCCCAGTTATTCCCACTTACTTATTTTGGATCTAATAACTCTAATCTAAAGTTATTAGATTATACTATTTTACTGGTCTATCCCACTGACCTAGACAGCACTAATATTAACAGTTCGCTGTTCTATTACTTCTAGATATTAAATGTTTAAACTGTTAATTGATAGTTTCACATATACAATAAGTTACCTATCTTCAAAAATTAATATAACTCTATAAATTAGTAGTTCTATGTTCCAATATATCTTTAATAACAATTATACTTTACTAAGAAGTACAAATAAACAATATCTTTAGAGTCTAATCAATATATAGTTATATAAACCTAAATATTTAAGGATTTTTATCACAAAATGCCACTAAATATTGTGTTACTAAAGTAAGAAAAAAAAGAAAAGAAAAAAAAAGAAAAGATCAACCACAATGTTCTTACATGTATAAATATAAATATTATAATCACAGGTAACAATTAATTTTAGATTTAAAAGTTCCAATCAGATTGCTATGTCTTACTGTAATATTGGTGGCTGTAGACTTAAAGGTCACAGCTCACCAGCTCGAATCCCCCAGCAACTAAGACTAACCTGAGCACAAGCAAGCCCCCACCTGAACAGAACACACCCCCAGCCAATCAGAACACAGCCAAACCCCCACCCAATCAAGTCACACCCCCACTAGCAGTTAAAAGGAAGAAGCAGTTGTAAGCTCACATTACTCCTAGAGGCACAAAGCCGAAGACACAAGCCTGAAGATGATGAATGAGACTTCATCGAAATGTTGCCTAGATACTTCCAATTTTATGTGGGAGAAAACCCGAATAACCAAAGATCTATCTATCTATCTATCTATCTATCTATCTATCTATCTATCTATCTTCTTAAGTTTTCATGGGTACTTACATGAATGGTATTCAGCTTTGTTCGGGTATTTTCCCACGTCATTATAGTTGTGCTTTTAAAGTTGTAGCAATGTTTCAGCAGAATCTCATCAACCATCATCAGGCTTCTGTATTGTGTTCATCTGTAAGTCAGACTTTCGCAGCCATTTCTGTTTTAAATTTGGTGCTAGCCTACTGTTGTGCCAGAATGGTTTTTTCTTCATCCTGATTGGTTGGGAGTCTTGGTCTGTGTTATTGGTCTTGGTGTTTGCTGTGTTCTGCTTGATTGGTGTTTCTAATATCTTCTGTCTGTTTAGTGGCTTTTTTGGTCTTGATCGGCTGGCAACATTGTGTTTCCTGTATTGGAGGCTTTTAGTGCTGCTTGGCTCTGAGTAAATGGATGGCTATCATTTATTAGGAAGGTAGGTTTCATCTGGGTGCTTGGTTGGGGTGTGTTTGAGCTGGAGGTATCAGCGGGGATCTGTTTGTGCCCAGGTGTTTGCCTGGCTTGTGGTGTGGAGATTTTTTTGTTTGTGAGTGTAGGCTTCCAAATAATTGACAGTCTGGTGGAATCATCTCTTCTATTCATGCTTTCAGGTCTTTTTAAAATCTCTATGGCTTCTCTAATAATTCTGTAGCTGGGGTTTTCTATAGTGGCTAGGGTTTTGGTGCCATTGAAGTTGATGCTCTGACCTGTTGCTTTCATGTGTTGGACTAGTGAGGAAGTGTGTTCCAGGTTTTTTACTGCATTTTTGTGTTCATCCAGGTGGGTACTTATTCTTCTATTGGTCTGATGCACAGGGGATTTCATATATGCCTTGGTTTTCCAGGTCAATTTTATCTTTGGGGTTTCTTAGGATGGCTGCTGGAAAACCAAGGATGACCTGGAAAACCAAGGCATATATGAAGTCCACTGTGCATCATGTCCTGCCACATACATTGGACAGACCAATAGAACAATAAGTACCCGCCTGGATGAACACAAAAATGCAGTAAAAAAGCTGGAACATAATAAATGATAGCTGTCCGTTTACTCGGAGCCAAGCTGCACTAAAAGCCTCCAATACAGGAAACACAATGTTGCCAGCCAATCAAGACAAAAAAAGCCACAAAACAGACAGAAGATATTAGAAACACCAATCAAGCAGAACACAGCAAACTCCAAGACCAATAAACACAGACCAAGACTCCCAACCAATCAGGATGAAGAAAAAAACATTCTTGCACAGCAGTAGGCTAGCACCAAATTTAAAACAGAAACGGCCGTGAAAGTCTGACTCACAGACGAACACAATACAGAAGCCTGATGATGGCAGATGAGATTCTGCCAAAACATTGCTGCAACTTTAAAGCACAACTATAATGACATGGGAAAATACCCAAACAAAGCTGAATACCATATATACAAATACCCGTGAAAACAAATATATACATATGTATGTATGTATGTATGTATGTATGATGTATGTATATGTATATATATATATATAAAATCTTTAATAAAGTTTATTTTAAAATTAAAAAAGAAAATTGAGTACTTGGGTTTCATTGGAGGGTGTTAATGTGACTTAAATTTGAGCATCAGCAGCTTTCTGAATCATGATTTTATGACTAAGGAGAGAGAAGGGCTAAGATTGTGCGACATGCTGGATCAGGCCAAAAAGGCTTCGAGAGGTTTATAATTCCACAGTAAGAGCCCAGCCCTGGTTTGAGTGAATTCTGTCAGCTAAGCTGCCAGATGAATGTTGTAAACTGCCCAGAGTCACCCCAAGGCAAGTTGGGTGGCAAACAAATTTAATATATAAATAAATAAAGTATGCCATGGTTTAATTGGGTAGAACGTATTTCTTACAAACACAGCCACTGTGCTTTCTGAACCTGACATTGATATTTAGTACATTGTGTGAATTCAGCCTTGTTTTAGCAACAAGCCCAACTCCTAAACTAGCCTGGTCCCTTTCTTTCCGGGAACATTTTGGAAACCGGCTGTGACAATGAATCTCATTGAATCTCATCCTGGCAGCTGAACATGATCTGGGGTCAAAAACACTGGAGGTGCGCCGAGACACTAAGAACGGCCGAAGTAGATGGAGACCCCTCCAGCCCGGCGCAGAGCAACTGCTACTCAATAAAGTAAGTCATCCTTCCTTTGTTTCTCTAACTGCCTCCGCTCTGACCCAAGAGGTGTGTAAGATCTGTCTCTATTGCAGATTTGTCAGCTTTGTATTACAGTTTTAAGCCATTAGATTATGATATGTCACGGCAAAGTAAAAAATGCCATTTGGGCTGGAGATTGGTCAGGGACTTATAATCACCTTTCCTTCCGTAGGGATATTGGAGAGGAAAAAAATATTGGGGCAATTTTCCAGTTGTCTGCAACTTTGATTCCCCCCCCCCCCCCCTTTTTTTTTGGTATTTGCGGAGATGCTACTGAAATAACTTGAGCCACATGCTGGTGCCATTTATTTCTTCCAAAATGGCTTCTGATTTGCAGCATAATTGTTTCCCTCTCAGGTGGATTTGGAACGGCCATGATGATCTACAGAACCTTATAATAGCTTTCCTGCAGTCATAGACCCAAGATAGGAAAAGCAAGGCCATTTGCCAAGAGTGTTCAACCAAACCCAAACGAACAATCTGATCCATATATGTATATAAAAATTGACAAAATTAAAATGATGACATATAATGAAAGAATAAAATAAATACTTATTTATATTAGACACATACGTTCATACAAAGACATCCGTGTATGCTAAGGACAAGCTAGATGTAGAGGGCTTAGGCAATGTGTCATGGATCCATCTCTGGATGTGAGTTTGGAGGAGGAGGAGGAGTTTGAGTTGGCCAAGGAAAGCGCAGGGCTGACTGATGGCCTGGACTGGGGCTCAGAGAGTGCTAACCTGATGGAGCAGGCTCAGCTGGGTCAACTGGATGAGTGACAGGCTGAGGCTAAGCTAGGTGAGCTGCAGCCACAGTGAGTTGGCCAGGAGGCTCCCAGTGAGGGCCAGGACCTGTTATTGAGGAGGAGGAAGTAGTGGAGTCCACACCTCCTCCTGATCCAAGGAGACGTAGGGCCGAGAGGAGACAGGCAGAAAGCAGATCAGCTAGACTACTTGCGAGGAGGCAACCTCACCCCTTGTGAAGGGTCACCTACTTGTTCCCGCTCGAGCATTGCTGGAGTAATGAGCCCAGTTCAGTGCCTTGTGTGTTCGTGCCTGACCCATTTGACTTGTGGATTGTTTTCCTGGACTTTGTGTGTGCCTGTTGGATTCAGTTTACCCAGTGATTCTTGCCGTGCTAAGCTTGGAAACTGAACCTGCACAAGCTGAACCTGCTTGCTTTCCAAGACCGTTTTTTGGTGTGTGTGTGTGTGTGTGTGTGTGTTGAATATACACTTGTAGAACTCTGTGTGTGTGTGTGTGTGTGTGTTTGTGTGTGCGTGTGTGAGAGAGAGAGGGGGGGCGGGAGTGGAGCAACACCCCATGAAGCGCAGGAGGAAAATGCATTACCAAGGCAGTGGTCACACAGAAGAGGGCTGAACCCGGGGCAAGAAAGCAGTGTGAATAAATGCCTCAGACATGCTATTCCTAGTTCACAGAGGAGGCACATCCAGACTTGCAAAATTCTGTCACTATATCTGTTCCAGTAAAAATACAGATTTATATGGCTTTGGTTTCTTGATCTGGTCAATCTTTCAGGACTGAAACTAAGATCCATTGTGTTTGGAGTTGGCCAAGTTGGACCATGTCTATATTTTGTTTTATCTAGGCCCACTTTCTCCACAAGGTTCCTTCTAGAGGTCTTCTCTGTGCTCCAGATTTAGTATTTAGTATTTATTTGATTTGTCAATTGCTTACAAGATATAGGTATAAGAATAAACATAGTTTTGAATACATGAGATAGATACTTATAAGAAAAATAAAAAGAAACAATAGGACAGGGACGGTAGGCACAGTTGGTGCACTTATGCACGCCCCCTACAGACCTCTTAGGAAAGGGGTGAGGTCAATAGTAGACAGTCTAAGGTTAAAGTTTTTGGGGTTTGGGGAAGAAACCACAGAGTCAGGTAGAGTATTCCAGACATTGACCACTCTGTGGCTGAAGTCGTATTTTCTGCAGTCAAGTTTGGTGCGGTTAACCTTGAGTTTGTATCTATTGTTTGCTCTTGTGTTGTTATGATTGAAGCTGAAGTATTCATTGACAGGTAGGTCATTGCAATGTATGATTTTTATATACTATATTTAGATCGGACCGGAGGCGGCCTAGTTCTAGGTTTTCTAGGTCTAGAGTTTCAAGTCTGGTGGCATAAGATATTCTGCAATGAGTAGAGGAGTGGAGAATTCTTCTTGTGAAATATTTCTGGACTTTTTCAATAGCGTTAATATCAGATACATGATATAGGTTCCAGACTGATGAGCTGTATTCAAGTATAGGTCTAGCAAATGTTTTGTATGCTGTAGTTATTAGTGTGATATTACCAGAGAAGAAGCTACATAGGATTAGGTTAACAACTTTTAATGCATTTTTGGCTATGTAGTTACAGTGGGATCTAGCACTTAGATCATTAGAGATGAGTACTCCAAGGTCCTTGACAAAGTTTGCATCCTCAACAAGGTCTTGATTATTTAGCTTGTATTTTATTTTCTGATTTTTTTTTTGCCAATATGTAAGACAGAGCATTTATTTGTTGAGATTTGAAGTTGCCATTTGTTTGACCATTCTGATACATAGTCAAGGTCTTTTTGGAGGGTAGCAGTATTGTCTGTGGTGTTGAATAGCTTTACATCATCAGTGAAGAGAACACAGTTGCTCTTAATATGATCACAGAGGTCATTTATGTAGAGTATGAAGAGAGTTGGTCCTAAAACACTGCCTTGGGGGACACCACTGTTGACAGGTACAGAATTTGATGGGACGTTCCCAATTTTGACCATTTGTTTTCTTTTTGACAGGAATGCCTCTATCCAGTTATGCAGTTGTCCAGAGATACCATAAGATTTTAGTTTTAGGAGTAATTTGTCGTGTACCACTGAATCAAAGGCTTTACAGAAGTCTATGTAGATTGTGTCTATTGTTTTGCCCTGATCGAGTTGTGTAGTCCATATGTTTTTGCAGTGTAAGAGTTGCAGATTACAGGATAATTCTTTTTCTGAAACCAAATTGTTTATTTGAGAGTAGGTTGTTTGTCTCTAAGTGGAGGATAATGGATTGGGTAATAATTACAGGTGACGCAGCATAAGGAGATTGGTTTGTAATTTTCAACTAGGCTGGGATCTCCCTTTTTGAAGATGGGGATGACCGTGGCTTGTGATCATCGTTTTGGCAAGGAGCTGGTCCTTTAAGATTTTTCAAAGATTATGCTTAGAGGTTCAGCTATGGCAGTGGATCGTTTTTTAAGAAGTAGGCACATATTCCGTCCAGTCCAATAGATAGGGATGGTTTTAGATTGTGCAGTGCTTTTTCAACAATGTCCTCTGTAAAATCGATATGCATTAGATCATTGTAGTTGTCTGTGGTTCGACTAGGAAGTATTGGGCTTGATCCATTGCTGTTTACAAATACTGTGCCAAAGAATGTGTTAAAGAGGTTTGCTTTGATGGCGTTGTCATTTTAGTCTTTGCAATTAGGTCCTTTCAGGGGTGGGATGGACCTTGAGTCTTTTAGTTTGTTGTTTACAAAATTGTAGAAAGCATGGGTGGAATTTGTGCATAGAAGGTTTTCCTCTTGTTTAATGTGATAATTAGTGCATTCAGTTTTTATCTAGTGGCATAGATTTTTGTATCGGCTTTTGAAGTTGGCAATGTGACCAGATTTGTTTTTTCGCCAAAGTGATCTCTTTTTGGATTGAAGCTTCCTTATTGTTATGGGTAATCTGTTTTTCCTGGTTTTGGGAGTTGTTATTGGTACATATGGTTTGATGGCTCTTATGATTTCTAGTAAGAATATGTTGTAATGGTCTTCAACAGTATTGCATCCAGTGAATAGAAATTGCCAATCAAGGGAAGAGAGATAGTTGATTGTAAGATCATAGTTGCCTTTTTTGAAGTTATAATTGGGGATTTTGTTGTTGTGATGATTTTTGTGTGGACATATGATGAGTCAAAAGTCAATCATGTTGTGATCACTGTTGGAAAAGGGTTCTTTAATTTGTATTCCATAAATTGAATTCAAACTATTGCAGAAGATGAGATCGAGGCAGTTAAGTCTAGTATTGTTGGTTACTAGTTGTTCCTGTCCCAGATTTGTTATAGCATTGTAGAAGGTTGCATGTATGGGTTCAGTTGTACATTCGTTTAGGGTCCAGTTAATGTGAGGTAAATTGAAGTCACCAAGAAAGATAAAAGCGTGTGGGCAGGATGCTGCCCATATTAGTAGTGCATGTAGCTTGTTTACATGTTCAATGTCATAATCAGGGGCTCTGTAACATAATAAGAACCGAAATGTGATATTTAAGGTCAGTTCACAGATAATAGTCTCAGGAAGAGCAAGCTCCTGGGTAATTTGGATGTTTTTAGATGTAAGGACTTTTTATAGAAGATAGCAACACCACCTCCTCTACAAATTTCACAATCGGATCAGTAAACATGATAGTCTCTTACTGAGGTAATGGAGTCAGGGAGAGGTGCATTGAGCCATGTTTCACAGACAAATATGATGTCGAATTTAGCTGTATTTAGTAAGAGGAGAAATTCAGGTATTTTATTTACAAGGCTTCTTGCATTGAGTAGCTTGTATTTAAGGCCAGTTGTAGTTTGAATTGAGGTAGTTGGGGGTGTGCGTGCCTAGTCTTGGGTGATGGTGGATTGGTTGAAGTAGGGTTGGATGCTGAGTTGTGGGTTGTGTGACTTTCTTTTGATACAGTCTGCACGGTAATCAATGTATAGGATCCTCCTGGATCCTCTTGGGCTGTTTTGTTTGTTCAAGAGATTTCCCCAATGTTCCAGAACTGAGTCTGAAGACTTCTCTGTGTTCCAGATTTGTGTTTCAAATCTGTGTCCAGAGGTCTTCTCCATTTTCCACATCTGTGTCCCCGAGGACTGATTGGAAGGGCACCAGGTTAAAGAGCAAGATCTGACAAATGAAAGCCAAGGCAGACAATGGTCTATAACAGTTTATTTTGGTGGGATTGT